ATTGGACTGAACTGGGAACTGAATAGCAGGGGGCTGCCTAAGAGAACTTGCCCTCATTGTCTGGTTGCATGGCCTGAGGCCGTTCAGCACTTTTCCCCTGCCCAAAGACCCAACTGATGCCTGGTAGTTAAAAGCTTCTCCTTTAATATTGAAGTTAATAAAGTTGTGGCCTGCTGTTTTAAATACATTCTTGTGCCTGTGTGCCAGCGTTCTCCTGCTCATCTCGCTCAATGCAGCAGTCTGTCTGCTTTGCAATGCCCACTCCCCTGGTCCTCTGCTCTTTATGCTGACTCCCTGAGCTAAGGTCAAACTCCTCCTCTGGTCTGGCCCTAGCTACCTGAGAGATCAGAACACCCCACAATAACTCTGGGACATTGGGGCAAGGGGGAGGCTCATGAGTGTCGGGGTGGAACTTTTAAATAATCCGGTCCCCACCATGGGAACTGACTCCCTCAAGAGTTAAGAATGATCACAAACCTCACCCTGTTCTGAATGAAATGGAAAACTTCTGTTTAACTCTGCTTTTTCTCAGGAAGCTCTTCCCACTGTACCTTTCTCTCTCACACACACATGCTAATTGAGCTAGTCTTCATACAAGCTTGGCAAGGAAGAGAGAGAAAGAGAGAGAGAGATTGTTCATTCTATTATTGAATATTTGGCAGGTGCTCAGATACTACAGTGATGAGGCCCACATAAGCACAAAGGGTATGTCTACACTACAAAGTTAATTCGACCTAACGTCTGTTAGTTCGAATTAACTTTGATAGGCGCTACACTAGCGATCCGCTAGTTCGAACTTAATTCGAACTAGCAGAGCACTTAATTCGAACTAGCAGAGCACTTAATTCGAACTAGCAGAGCACTTAATTCGAACTAGCAGAGCACTTAATTCGAACTAGCAGAGCACTTAATTCGAACTAGCAGAGCACTTAATTCGAACTAGCAGAGCACTTAATTCGAACTAGCAGAGCACTTAATTCGAACTAGCAGAGCACTTAATTCGAACTAGCAGAGCACTTAATTCGAACTAGCAGAGCACTTAATTCGAACTAGCAGAGCACTTAATTCGAACTAGCAGAGCACTTAATTCGAACTAGCAGAGCACTTAATTCGAACTAGCAGAGCACTTAATTCGAACTAGCAGAGCACTTAATTCGAACTAGCAGAGCACTTAATTCGAACTAGCAGAGCACTTAATTCGAACTAGCAGAGCACTTAATTCGAACTAGCAGAGCACTTAATTCGAACTAGCAGAGCACTTAATTCGAACTAGCAGAGCACTTAATTCGAACTAGCAGAGCACTTAATTCGAACTAGCAGAGCACTTAATTCGAACTAGCAGAGCACTTAATTCGAACTAGCAGAGCACTTAATTCGAACTAGCAGAGCACTTAATTCGAACTAGCAGAGCACTTAATTCGAACTAGCAGAGCACTTAATTCGAACTAGCAGAGCACTTAATTCGAACTAGCAGAGCACTTAATTCGAACTAGCAGAGCACTTAATTCGAACTAGCAGAGCACTTAATTCGAACTAGCAGAGCACTTAATTCGAACTAGCAGAGCACTTAATTCGAACTAGCAGAGCACTTAATTCGAACTAGCAGAGCACTTAATTCGAACTAGCAGAGCACTTAATTCGAACTAGCAGAGCACTTAATTCGAACTAGCAGAGCACTTAATTCGAACTAGCAGAGCACTTAATTCGAACTAGCAGAGCACTTAATTCGAACTAGCAGAGCACTTAATTCGAACTAGCAGAGCACTTAATTCGAACTAGCAGAGCACTTAATTCGAACTAGCAGAGCACTTAATTCGAACTAGCAGAGCACTTAATTCGAACTAGCAGAGCACTTAATTCGAACTAGCAGAGCACTTAATTCGAACTAGCAGAGCACTTAATTCGAACTAGCAGAGCACTTAATTCGAACTAGCAGAGCACTTAATTCGAACTAGCAGAGCACTTAATTCGAACTAGCAGAGCACTTAATTCGAACTAGCAGAGCACTTAATTCGAACTAGCAGAGCACTTAATTCGAACTAGCAGAGCACTTAATTCGAACTAGCAGAGCACTTAATTCGAACTAGCAGAGCACTTAATTCGAACTAGCAGAGCACTTAATTCGAACTAGCAGAGCACTTAATTCGAACTAGCAGAGCACTTAATTCGAACTAGCAGAGCACTTAATTCGAACTAGCAGAGCACTTAATTCGAACTAGCAGAGCACTTAATTCGAACTAGCAGAGCACTTAATTCGAACTAGCAGAGCACTTAATTCGAACTAGCAGAGCACTTAATTCGAACTAGCAGAGCACTTAATTCGAACTAGCAGAGCACTTAATTCGAACTAGCAGAGCACTTAATTCGAACTAGCAGAGCACTTAATTCGAACTAGCAGAGCACTTAATTCGAACTAGCAGAGCACTTAATTCGAACTAGCAGAGCACTTAATTCGAACTAGTTTTTAAGTCTGGATGCGCTAATTCAAATTAGCTTAGTTCGAATTAACTAATTTGAACTAAGTTAGTTCGAATTAGCGCTGTAGAGTAGACATACCCCTAGATAGAGCTGATTCTTCAGCTGCTGTGAGAGCCTTCATGTTGTTTTTCTTAATCTTGAAGGGAAATGGTGCCACTTCAATATTGTATCAGTGTACTGAGGCTTCAGTTTTAAAGGTTGTATTATATCTTGTACTGGCACATGGCATGGGCCTTTCATGGGCATCATTTATAATTGTTTTGCCCAGTAACCCCCTCCTCATGGCCTTATAATGGACCTATATCACTGGACTGAATTGTATCCATACGGGGTGTTGTTTGAAATAACGGTGCTATGATGGGCTTATTCTATGCTGCCATAAGAATGGAGTCACAACAAACTTGTAACGCTGTTGTTTTACCAATTCAATCATCTTCGTTGTCATGGGAAAGGGGACAATTGAGTGGGAGGGTGGTGTGGACATCGCTTATGATGATACCGGATCTCTTTCATGGTTCTCAAGTAATAGAAATTAGCCACACTCTATGATTAGCTGTTGTTTCCCAAAGGCCCCACACTGCCTTTTCAAAATATATCGATGAGGCTTTTAAATACTTCATACACTTAGGAATAGCAATTCAAAGACCTATAGGACAGGGAGGAGAGGAGAGTGCATTAAAGCCAAGGGGACTCATGCCGTTATAAACCCACTCCACTCTGCGAAAACGTATCCACTGGGGGTGTATGTGGGGGAGGAGTGTGAACATTCATTAAAGATAAGGAAAGACTCCAAAGCCAGGTCTATATTCAGTTTTTAGTGTTCTAAAATGGTAAAAGAATTCTATCAATTAATATTTATTTAAAAACTTAAATCTTCATCTGAGTTTACACTAATATTATGGAAGGCCAGATTCTCAGCTGTCAGGAAATCAACATGGGTCTCTTGTCTCTGGCAGCCAGTTTACACCAGCTGAAGATCTCACCCCATGTTTAAATAGGATGTGGGTGAGTTAAACTCTGGGAAATGAATGGTCACATCTGAGTAGCTAACCTGCTTTGAAGCAGCACTATCCACTCTGCTGTGTGATTTGTGTAGAACAGCTCTGAGCACATTTTGAGGAGAAAAAGTTTACCTTGGTTTATAGGATAATCAAGCACAGAACATGAAAAATGCATTTATGAAGCAGTGATAAGAAAACACAGTGCATCCTCTATCAGGTACACCGTGATTGCAAGAATAGTTCCCCGTTCGCAATTTAACACTACTTTTCAAAAAGTTTGGAATGAAATATTGTGATGTAGTGACAAAAGAAAAAAATTAACATAACTGTTACCTGATACCAACAGTAGGAACATACATCAAGAACTAACACACAATTAATTGGTTCCTTCTAACCGCCCCCCGCAACTACAATTTTGAAATGTTCCTAATCTACTGAGTTGCAGCAATGAATGAAAAATCATGAAGAATTGTAAGGGATCAGTGTGGGCTAAAAGGGTTTAAAATTCACCTTGTGTCCCACTGCTTATCTGGGATGAGCTGGGAGAAATGAGGCCATATGGAATTCAGCTTCACACAGGGAAATGGAAAACAGGGAAGAACTAGGAAGATGAATAAAGGCTCATCATGGATACAAAAGAACAGAGCAAAAAAGATGCTTGGATTTGGGCATTCTTGTCTGGCAAGGAGGCAGGCAGTAAGGCTAATGAAGCATTTGCGATATGGGACGTATGCCAGCGTAACAAAGAAGATGTGCATCAGCTCTGCAGATGTGCCAAAGCCCCCAGAGCAAAATAATGACATAATCACCATCAGTGTCACAGACCAGACTGTACACAAGGTGACATGGGAGAGAATAAATAAGAGTCTTTAGAGGCCTGAGTACACACACAGGAAGAAATAGCCATTCCTCACTACTGCCACTGCCCCAAGAGAGTTGAAGCGATGAGGGTATAATGTGTGCAGCTACCAAAAGAAATCTTGAATTGTGTAAGGCTAAAGCACTATAAATTGATGCTTTTCTTAGTCTCCAGTTGACGTTTCAATTCCCCCTACCCCTTGTTGAATGCAAAATGAAATGGCAGTAGGAGTCCAAAGACTTTGCCAATCTTGGGGGTGGAGGGAGGAGGAGAAAAGGGAAAGACAAAAAGAAGGGGTTATCGGTAAATAATTGTAAAAACCATACAGCTGGAACTATCTCAGGATTTCACTCAAAATAACATTCAAAACTCAAACAAGGAGAGGAGTACATTTGGAACAGCATTCTCCATGAATGACACTAGAAAAGCAAAATATTTTGAACGTTAAAATACAAGCTTATTATTTTATTGATCAGGAGTAAAACAGTGCTCAGGGCAAGTCAGTACTTAACAGGTTATTTGCAGTAGGGAGTAATCCGAAAAATACCAAGTAGCCTTAAAACTCCTAGCAGTTTTTTCCGTATAAGGTAGGTGTCTGTCATGGTACGGGGAGGGGGTTATTATTTGTAATGTTATTTTTGTCAATTTTTAAAGGGAACATCTGTTTGAGAAACTGAACCAGCACTGGAAAGCTATGGACTCAATCTGGCAGAGAGTAGCTTCACTCAAAGAGCCAAGGGTCTTTTCATAAGAGTAAAGCTCTTAAAGTGCAGGTCTGTTTGCAGGATCAGCCCCTATCAGAGTAGCTCAGAACAAAGAACTGGCTTCACCAGTGTCTCTTTTCATTGTTTCTAATGAAAGATTCATAAGACTAACTTTAATTTTTTATGACCATTTTTGCATTACTGTATTTGTTGTGTGTACCTCATATGTAGTTTCTTCTTAAATACAGAAAACCTGTTGCAAAATGCCTTGCACAACAACTTAATCAGTACAATCATTGATTTTGGTTTCTCTTCAGCTCGTCTTAACATGAAGGACGTGCCATGGGGCTCAGAATATTTTGATGAGCTTATTCTTTTTAAAGTCATATGGTTATGTCTGTGAAGAGCATTGATATTGTCTTGGTGAATTAAAAACCTTCCTAGTTTGCTAGTTTAACTGTCCAAGAGAAGAATAATTGTATTTGTCTTTTTTTTGGCTTCACCCTATTAACTACAACAGTAATGTAACAATTGTTAATAGACAGGTTTAATTTGACTGTACTTCTCACATATCTGCTAACTGCACCATATCTTTGTTTAGCATATCATTAGGGTAAACAAGGAAAGCATGTATGCCATTTTGTTCTGTTGTATATGAAGTTTAATAATTATGCCACAGAGGATTCTAAATTAATCACAGAAGGTGCAACACTATTAATAATCGGTTAGAAAACTACAGATTCTTTGCAGTTTGAAGTTATTGGCATTGTAGTAGGGTTTTTTTAAATAACCAGGCACGTGTTTGTTTCTGTTGGTGTTTATACCAATATTTTCTTTTATGGATATTCCATTAAGCATCCACGTCTCCCCTCAAAACCTATGTTTGTTTTGGGCATGGAAGGAAGAAGCTGATCAAAACTGACACAAAGAAAAAAAATGTTCATGTATTGACCAAAATTTCCCCAGAATAGTTTCCCATAATGATGCTAATTTCTAATCTTCCACTCAAAGTAAAAATAGGAGGCTCTGAAGAAGTTTTAAATAGTTAAATAGCTGTGTAATCTAGATGAAATAAACATGCTTGCTAGTTCAAAAAGGTTGTTAGAACTTTTTTCAGCTATTTAATCCATAGATGGCTGAATACAATATGTTCTACAGAAAGATACAACCATCACCAGCAGCTGTTAGAAGAGAGCTTGCTCTCTGCTCCTATTGATAACCCTTTGTGGAATGAAGAAAAAGAGCGGAGGGAAGGAGAACTGAATGTCAGACAATAGACATCGCTACACACACTGTCTCTGAACTTTCCTCATCTCTGAAGGACAATTAATTATGAAGGCCTTTGGGGTAGGTCGAAGCAAGGGAAAACCTACTGCTGGCCCAGCACTCCAGCCGCTATCTCTGTGTTTGTTAAATGGTTGTGCCTGTTGGGGAACCAGAGTAGCAGCCACCAAAATAGCCAATAGATCATTTAGGAAAAAAAGAGCAAAAGATTTTTTTTAATGTGTGTCTGTCCTTGTATAATTCTATTCTCACTGTGAAATCATCCATACACAAAACACAAGGACAATTTTTTTTAGAAGAGCCACAGGGTAGGTTACAGTCAGAAACGGCCTCTCAGTGGTGTGTTAAAAAGGATGGTCTTTTCACCAAATCATTTCACAGAGGCAAAACAGACAAACACAAAGAGTTGAGACTTTTTCTGCTACATTAAATAGAGTAACTGATAAGGTCAGACATATGATACCTAAAGACATGAATCTGTGAACTCTTGAAGTCAAAGGACTTCTCTGTGCAAAGGAACAATCTTTCAAAGGAAATAGATCATAGAACTCCACTGAATCCCCTTTAAACTTTATGAAGCAGGAGGAGAAAAAGCTCTAAGTAGGGAAGCTTGACAGAAGAGCCTTGAACTATTTTCTGAAGGAAAGATGAGACCCTCCCTAGGCTGTCACAAAACATCTTTTTTTTCCCAAAGGCTCTTCTGAACTTTGATATGTGCCAAGACACCGCTATTGAAAGCTGTATAATTATGTGCTATAGCCACTGTAGAAAATGCTTTGTTCATCTCAACAAAGAACAATAAGCAAAGTAAAGTGACATTACACTGTATCTTTTTCTTTAAGAATGTCGAGAAAGGTCATGGTATGTTATAACTAATAAAGCTGTTGAGTAAGGAGGTTTAAAGTCGATCTTGCTGTGCTTAAATGTAACCCAATGACAAAAAGGCAGAGGGAGCTAAAATGTAATGACATTAAAAAAAACCCAGATAATAAATCAATGGCCCAGACTCATTATACCAATGAATATCTTGAACCTAAAGGAAATAAATATAAAAATGAAGAGTAGTTGTGAGACAGACTTCTGTCTCCAAGTGTGGCAACTTTTCTCTTCAAGTTTCCCTTCAAGTTGTTGCTTGCAATTAAACTAAGCAAGAAATTGATTACCGAGTAGTAAATAAATGGTATGTACAGTGTCTGCACAGTCTAAAGCAGAGGTAGGGAACTTCAGGCCTGGGGGCTGGATGTGGCCCTGGCTTGTCTGGATCCGGCCCCCAAGGCTCAGGACCCTCCCTGCACTGGGAAGCCTGTACTGGTAGAGCTGGAGCACACAAAATCTACTAGGCTGGGCCCCCCTAGGTTCTGGTGTGCGAGGGGAATGTGGGGGGTGTCTTTCTCCTACTCGGTTGGGTGCCATGTCGGTGAGGGGCTTTTGTGTGCGGCCCCTAACTGATCTTTTTGTGGGTCAGTGGCCCCCAACCCAAAAAAGGTTTCTCACCCCGGTCTAAAGGTACCTGAATTTTGTAAGTTTTACAAATACATTTAATCTCCTGTGAAAGTTGCAAGGAAAACAGATTTTTTCCCCCCCAAAAAGTGTCTCTCTAAGCTGTTTTCTTCTTTTTAAACAAAAAACACATGGGACATCATAGGCAAAAATTCAGAGACCAGTATTTCTAATGAAAGGTCACCTTTTGGAGCATGTGTGTGTGGAATCTTCCTAAATATGTGTGCTCAATTTTCCTTTAAAGGACTGATGACAATAATAAGCCCTTCCTAAATTGCTTGTTATTCACAATCTGCACAATAAGTTTTCTACTCTTTTGCTGCAGCTCACAAGTAATAAGTCATTTGCCTTTTTAAAAGAGTGCTAAAAAAGGTCATGGTATGCTATGCTGAGTAAGGAGATGTAAAGCTGAATAGAAAGTGAGAGGAGAATAATATGAAAATAAGGCTGTTGTCACCTAGTCCTGGTAATGCATTTGAAATGTACAGGCTGCCTCTGTGCCTCTCTGCCTCTGTGCGGTATCTTGAATACCTGAAATGTCCATAAGGGGAGCAAGTAAGAAGCTTGTAAATTATAAGGTCTGATTTCCTCTTACACTAAAACCAATTTACCCTGCCCTAGTTGTGTACAGGGGCCTTAAAGGGGGTATAAATCCTGGTTTAAAGCCCCTATAAGATTGAAAAAGCACAGTAAATTGACCTTAGTATAAATGAGAATCAGACATTAAGGGTTTAATTGTCCCTTTGATGCACCTCAATTGAGGTCACGAGGAGTCATGCTCAAGCAAAAGACTATGGTCTTCTAAAATGAGAACGTTAGTGTCCAGGAATTTCAAAAATTGCTATTTATTTAGGATGCGCATTTGGCGATGCTTTGAATAGCATTTTCAGAGTCTGGGTTTCAGGCATTTCCAGCTGAGCCACCCAAAATGGAGGCTCCTAAAATGACAAGTCATGCTGGAAAATTTGAGCCACTGGCATTTCTCTGACTTATTCTTCAGGTGCTTAGATGAATGTTTTCTTATTTGTGTTTGTGTAAATAAACCCAATTCCCATTTATTTAACTGTCTATGTCTGTTCTGCTGTAAAACACCCGCAACTGGCCCCGGTCAGCTGACTCAGACTGGCAGGGCTCAGGCAACAGAGTAGACTCCAGGCTCAGGCTGGAGCCCAGGCTCTGGGACTGCATGAATGGGAAAGGTCCTGAGCCCAGGGGTCAATACACTGCAATGTTATACCCCACACAGCCCGTCCCCAAGCCTGAGTCAGCTGACTTGGTCCAGTCAACAGATGTTTTACTGCAGCGGAGACATACCCTGTGGGATTAACGTGTCATGTCAGCAGTTAAGCAAGTGGGTCTTTGCAACATCAGGGTATTAATTAGGTTTTCCCTGACTTCATATCACTTTTTCCACATAAAATAAAGTGAACCTCATAACCAGCTTTTTTCAGCTTCTAAGACAGACCATTGTATTTTGCAGACTCCTGTGTGCAAATATGCCATAACCAATGATGTGCAAAAAAAAAAAAAAAAAGGCAATTGTCATTTCATCCTTCACTGTGGCAAAAAGACATATAGTGTATTTATAAAAATAATGCACTTGGGCTTAAGTTTCACCATTATGCTAAGCTTGGAGATGTACCTCTGCAGGACTGGGCGAATTCCTGTGAAACAACATGCAAGTGGAACTCAGAGGGACAGTCTGCAATAGCTTACTTGAGTGTTTGTTTGCTTACTCCAGACGTTTTAGATAAGTTGAGATGTAAGTGGAAGGACAACAACCAGATTGCCCAGTGCTAGGGGAGAGAACCCTAATGGTATGTCTACACTGAAAAGTAAACCTGTGCTTCATCCTGGGCTCAAACCCACCCCTTTCTTTACACCTACTTTGCAATTGTGCTAACTCTGAGCTTGGACCCAGGTTCCCAAGATGCTGCAGGCCTGTAGAGTTCAAGCTCAAATTAAGCCCAGACCCAGGGTCTGAGCCCTATTGCTTTGCAGTGTAGACATGGTGCTGGAACTATCCCACAATTGCATGGATCAACTTCAATAGTTCCCTTTATTCCAACAATCTGCAACCCACCCTACTGAAAGAGGAGCTTTCTGGGTTTGCAATGGAGAGTGAACCAATCTAGCCTGTTGCAAAATGAGCAGCTTCCTGGTAACATGCAGGGCAGAGAGTAATGTTTTCCCACCGTGCAGCATGGTCCTAGGCTAGAGTTGGAGAGGAGGGCTAAGAGGTGCTAAGGGCTCTGGGATGTGGTTGCTTTGACTCAGGTCTCTGTGCTGCAGTGTGAATGCAAGAGCCCTAGGTTTAAGTGTGGGTTGGAAAAGTCTTAGCACAGGGTTAAAATACAGTGTAGATGCTCAACCTCAGGATTCCCTAACATGGATCAGCTGACTCTAGTCCCAGTACCCCCAAAGTTTACCCTGCAGTGTATACATACCCTGAAACATCACAGCTGAGAATGTGGCAGTCTCAGCCTCCTGCGGGGAAGTCAGAATGTGGAGTCCTGGGGAGACTACAATCTCTTTAATAGGTGAGAGTAAAGGAAAATCCTGCAAGTGACAGGACTGAAATAAGAATGGGAGCCATATAGGAGCTGAAATCCAGGTGCCATCTGAAGGCCAATATTCTCTGCCTTTTACAAACCATGCTGTATTTCAGTCTTTTGCCTCTTTCACACCAGTGGGTCAGTGATCTCCCTTGCCTGCCAGTGTCCCACTCTGGTTGTAACCATGAGCTGCAGAGATATTATAGGTTCTGATTCTGAAGGGGGGGATAGAGTAAGTGCCTTTAAAACAAAAGTGGAATGGAATCTATGTGGGTAACTGGACGTGAATCTTAGTTATTGATATCTTGGTGCTGGGCTCCCTAGAAATACCATAGATATGGAGTGGCTCAGCAAGCTGCTGGCTCTTTCTGACCTTCTTCTCCATCTACAGTGTGATATATAAATTCTGGTTCAGAGAGGAAGGATGAACTGTTTTTCATTTGTAAAAAATAAAACCCGCCCCAAGGCAAATGTGAGCTTTTTCCACCTTTACTGAAGAAATCAAATTTGCCATTCTCCTATCAGCCTGAATTTCCCTGTACAGCTATATTAACTGCACGTTCTGTTTCACTTGACCTTACAGGAGAAAACAAATACAGAAACAAATCTATGCAACATTAAAAAAAAAAAAGATAAGTCACTGTGTCCTGTTGGAGGTGTTGAATCTATCTCTGGCATTGAGCCACAAGACGACAATGGCAAAGCTAAAATGATAGGACGTGTAGCTTGTTAAGCATCTTATTTGACTTTGCTAAAAGCTGACACTTCCAACAAAAGGAACATAGCATTAGAGTTTCCTGAGCAAATCTGTGGCACAGCCTGCGAATCTGTGGCACACCTGTTTTTTTCACTTTTTTCCTAATAGTCAGTTTGGGTGCATTAAAGTGTGTGAGTTTCACTTACCAGCAAAGGAAGAGGGGTTACAAAATGCAGTATAGGTGATTTAAGAGGAAGAACTTTACATCAGACTTTAATCATATCAGAAGACCAGGAAAGCATCACTGAAGTGTGAGGAAGGAACTTTCATTATGCTAAATATTGTAAATGTTCAGTTTACTAAAGCCCTTTAGAGCCAATGTTAGTGTTACAAGACTTCTTTTTTGCTTTCCAACTTGTGGGGGTGTGACTTGGCACTTATCAGATAAGGTCATAAGACTACATTGAAGATTGCACCATGCAGTTTAACAATTTTTGCATCTTGAATATGTGACAAACTCTACTTCAAAAAATGAGGTTCTAGGAAATAGATATGGGTCTTTTCCTACAGGCATGGGGAAAGGAACATTTGAAGAGGCTCTTAGTCATCACCAGTTTAATTGGTAGATATCTTTTCTGAGATCTTAGGCTTGAGAAGAAGAGAGTTAATCACAGTATGTGCATATCAAAAATCACCTCCATATTACAAGTGAAATTTTCATTCTCAAGACTATTTAAAAATTTCCCCTTGGTTTATATATGCTCTATGTTTCTCAAAAAAATTAAATGTATCCATTAAAACTACTACTTTAAATTAACTTTTTGACTCAAACTTTGTAAAGCACTAATAAACTCCCAAGGCCTTACGTATAAACAAAACTGTTGTAGAACAATGCAACTTTATTCAGTCTTCACAGTGTTCAGCAAATCAAAATATGGTTGACAATATAAAGTAGGGGAAACTAAACCAGCTTTAAAAATAAACATTAAAAAGGTTAGTGACACTTCATATCACGGTTCCCTTATATTCCTCCCATCTCTATTATATCTTGTTATATACTTAGATTGTTAATGCGTAGGGGTAGGGGGAGTGTGTGTGTGTGTGTGTGTGTGTGTCTGTCTGTCTGTCTCTAGGGAGTGCTACCACAATACAAATAATAAGTCTGGATATGTTTCCCATACGCAACCACTCATAAATCTTTCAAGGAACACCCTCCGATCCCCTCTTTTTTCGTCCTTCTTTATCATGTAATCTTTCTCCTCAAAAACCCTGTACATACAATGTATGGGGAAAAGGCCTCAGAAAATCTCTGTTAGAGGTTAGAAACCTCTGTTACTCTGACTGTGGCATTGGATGGTATAGAAAATGCCTATGAGAAATCTCAGACCAGTGACTGTACTGACCAACCCAATCCCTTTGACT